TTTTTTTTTTTCAAGAAAAAGTATGATTTTTTTATTAGTACGCTTTTTTCGTCTTTATTCGTAGAGTGTAAAGTCCGAGTCTACGACTTTGTCTCGACATCTAACAAATGTCAGGTTCACTACTTCGACCACGTTCGCGTTATTTTTATCGTTTTTATTATTGGTACAAGGTTTTTTAACAGATTCGAGAATTTAATTTTCGCGCTCGGCAGGTGTGTGTATTAGCCAATAACAGTGAAACAAAACGGAATTATGTCGGTAACAGAAGTCCGCGATACATGGATCTGACGAGACGTGTTTAAATATTCGTAGTGAGGAGAGTTATCACTGTTTTTCGCTTCGCGAAATTAAACGTTACCTCGCAAAATTTAAGTACACCTTTGTTTCTTTTTCTTTCTTTGTTATTATAATCATCGTACAGACAGACGTCAGACTCGTGAAATATGTCACAATTTTTAAAAGCTCAGCTCGTGGCCGTGGAAAGAAAAAAAAAAAGAGCTATTTCATTGATATTTCACCGGATTCGTGAATATTCATCGGATTCTGCACAATTTCATTTTCCCTCCAAGTGTTCTCTTTTTCCATGTCATATCCGTTTTATGAAATATTGGCAAACCGTTTAATGAATTTTAAAGCGTTCTTTAATCATTGCTCAATCTCTTTTTTTTTAGATATTAATTTACCATTATTATCCACAAAATTTATATTTTCACGAATACTTTCTCACATGTACCTTCGGTACGAGATTAATTATTTGATAGTTTTTAACAGTGGTTGGTGACATTGTTAAAATTGCACCGAGTCCTCGAAAGAAGGGTACGACGCATCTAATATACTGTTTAGATTTAGGTTATGTTTAGGTTAGATTCTTCAAGCGTAAATAATGAAAAACGCACACGTGATTGTGTAACTGAAGCTCTGACAAATATGACTTGGCCATTTTAAATATTACTAAAGCAAGAAAAGAAAAGATGACGTAAATTGTTAAACGGTAAGATAAATTATTATTGTCGAGATATAATTTAATGATGTTTATTATATTAAGTAATAAAGAAAAACGGAAACAAAACAACAAATAATAAACGCAAGATAGACAATACAGACAACAATAATTCGAATAAACTCAAACGACAGGATTAATTCTTTTTATGCAACACGAAATGATCAGTCTTTTGACCACACTCATTCAACGCTGTGCTTCTCATATCACATTCATACTTTTCGTTCACGCAAATCTCCTCCAGCGAACAGGCCATCTATTAAAAATAAAAATAACTAAAAATATAACTATACATTGTAATAATTTCGATACTACATTATTCAAATATAACCTTAATTCAATCTTTATCACTTAAACTACTTTCAAGCCTTACCTGAAGGCTCTTTGAATATTCGATGCTTTCCTAACAATTAATCCCTTGAAATTAACCAGGTGAAATATGCAAATTCCTGGCGAAAAATCGGATCAAGGTTGATCGGTTGGAGAGCATTCATTTTGTAATTGAAAAACGACTTTTC